GCCTAAAGCAATCCTTCTATCTCAGCCTCCCAGTGGTTAGATTACAGGCATGAGCCACTGCATCCTGCCTGCTTGGGTTCTAATCTTTACTCTACCACTTACTAGCTATATCATGTTAGGCAAAACTTCACTTCTGTGTTTAGTCTCCTCATCTGTAAAATAGGAGTAATAATAGTACTTACACCTCACAGGATTGTTGTAGTGATCAAATGAAATAAAAATATATATAAATCCCTAGAATCGCCCCTGTTGCAAAGTAAATACTCAATTAGGATTAGCGATGATGATGATGATGATTTTTTTTTTTTGAGTTGGAGTCTCACTCTGTCGCCCAGACTGGGGTGCAGTGGCCACTCCTGGCCACCGCAGCCTCGACCTGCTGGGCTCCAGCGATCCTTCCACCTCAGCCTTCTAAGTAGCCGGAATTACAGGCATGCACTACCACACCCGGCTGATTTTTTTTTTTTTTGCATATAACAAATCATGTGAACTTGGAAGATAGAGGTAGCAGAGATAGGTAGAACAGGCTTTTTAAACAAGGTCTACTGCAGCTGATGCATGGCTTCAAGTTATGCTACATCAAAGCGAACATCCACAGCAAATTCAGAATTGTAAATATTCCATGTCTTTTCCATATGGGGGTTATCCAGTAGCTCTTGTGATAGAGCCTCTTTCCCTTTATAAAACATGTGTGGAACCAGAAATAAAAAGCACATTCATCATAATAATTAGGAAGCATCAGAGAAAAAAACTTCACTTTCACATCAGCATATAGCGGTGGGCAGTTGTATACCTTAATTATTAATTTGTTTTTCTCAGTGTCATGGATGAGCTTACAGTTATTTCCAACGGAGCAGGAAAACACAGTCGTTTTTTTCATTGTTACTTGCATTATTAAATCTTTTCCATCACCTGCTCCAACACCACATATGGAATGAATGATTATTTTTTTGATTACAAGTCGTGCTGCTTCTACATTGTTTTGACCTATTATCCATCTGAGGTACCGCACATATCTTCTCTGAGAAGGAGATTCTACACCCTGATACTTAGTGCCTTTGGATTCATCTGTCTGACGTTTTGCAAAGTCAGCAAAGCTCTCCTTTGCAGGTGAGACCATTCCACTAGCAATAAGGCAGATACAAATCGCTATTCCAGTTCGTCCTTTGCCTCCTTTGCAGTAAATCACTACCACATTGTTGCTATCTTGAGCTGTCCAGTTTCTTACATGGGTGAAGAACGCCATCATATGGTCCAGAATGGGGACATTGTGTTCATCAGTCTCAAGTCTAAAGACCCTTTCATGGATGTACACAGGATAGTATTCTCTTGCACTACAGAGATTGTAGATAAGATAGTGGTCTGCATGTTTTGCATCCAGGAACCGCACGACATCCACAGTAGAATTCCTGCAGGAAGACTGATTTTCACCATGGGGAAATGTTATCATAAAATCTGATCTGTGATGTATCTGAGCCCAAGGTGAAATCCATCCTTCCAACATCTTTTTGACACCAGTTTTCGAAAGTAGCGTATCTGGTGAGCCAGTCGAACAACTCTTAACATGACAGCAAAGCGAAAGATTTGAAATGATCTGAAAAGGCTTGGGGCGATGTTACGAAACTCTGGGTTGTGCCATATGTACAAGACATTAATCGGCAGAGACAACCTGATAATTGCAGCATCTATGATATTGAGGGTCACGGAAAAGTAGAGCTGTGCCCCTTCTGCAAGTACTCGTAGAAAAATATCTACGACAAAGAACATGTCAAATGCCAATGTAATGACTTGCCATCCTGTAGGCATAGGATCTCTAACAGCAACGTCTACCGTCACAATCATCATGCTCGCTAAAGTCATCAGAAGTCCAAATATCCGATATGACAAGGATGACACGATAAATTTGCCTTTTTACTCTTGCCGTTTATTTCTCCAACTTCCCTCTGGGACACACTTTCAGAACCATGCGGGACAGCGATGGTACTTTTGGCTCCATCAGAGCTTTCGTTGTCCGTAGTTGCCTGTGGGTTTATTTCTCCAACTTCCCTCCGGGACACACTTTTAGAACCATGCGGGACAGTGATGGTACTTTTGGCTCCATCAGAGCTTTCGCTGTCTGTAGTTGCCTGTGGGTTTATTTCTCCAACTTTCCTCCAGGACACACTTTTAGAACCATGCGGGACAGTGATGGCACTTTTGGCTCCATCAGAGCTTTCATTGTCCGTAGTTGCCTGTGGGGTTACATCTGCGATTTTCCTCCACTGTACACGACCAGGGCAAGGTGGGATGTTTATTTCTCCAACTTCCCTCCGGGACACACTTTCAGAACCATGCGGGACAGCGATGGTACTTTTGGCTCCATCAGAGCTTTCGCTGTCCATAGTTGCCTGTGGGTTTATTTCTCTGACTTCCCTGCGGGACACACTTTTAGAACCATGCGCGACAGTGATGGTACTTTTGGCTCCATCAGAGCTTTCTTTGTCCGTAGTTGCCTGTGGGTTTATTTCTCCAACTTTCCTCCGGGACACACTTTCAGAAACATGCGGGACAGCGATGGTACTTTTGGCTCCATCAGAGCTTTCGCTGTCCATAGTTGCCTGTGGGTTTATTTCTCCAACTTTCCTCCGGGACACACTTTTAGAACTATGCGGGACAGTGATGGCACTTTTGGCTCCATCAGAGCTTTCGTTGTCCATTATTGCCTGTGGGGTTACATCTGCAATTTTCCTCCACTGTGCACGACCAGGGCGAGGTAGGATAATGTTTATTTCTCCAACTTTCCTCCGGGACACACTTTTAGAACCATGCGGGACAGTGATAGTACTTTTGGCTCCATCAGAGCTTTCGCTGTCGTAGTTGCCTGTGGGTTTATTTCTCCAACTTTCCTCCGGGACACACTTTCAGAACCGTGCGGGACAGCGATGGTACTTTTGGTTCCATCAGAGCTTTCGCTGTCCGTAGTTGCCTGTGGGTTTATTTCTCCAACTTTCCTCCGGGACACACTTTTAGAACCATGCGGGACAGTGATGGTACTTTTGGCTCCATCAGAGTTTTCGCTGTCCATAGTTGCCTGTGGGTTTATTTCTCCAACTTTCCTCCAGGACACACTTTTAGAACCATGCGGGACAGTGATGGCACTTTTGGCTCCATCAGAGCTTTCATTGTCCCTAGTTGCCTGTGGGGTTACATTTGCAATTTTCCTCCACTGTACATGACCAGGGCGAGGTGGGATAATGTTTATTTCTCCAGCTTTCCTCCGGGACACACTTTTAGAACCATGCAGGACAGTGATGGTACTTTTGGCTCCATCAGAGCTTTCGCTGTCCGTAGTTGCCTGTGGGGTTACTTCTGCGATTTTCCTCCAGTGTACACGACCAGGGCGAGGTGGGATAATGATGGTATTAGTGTCTTCCTCAGAGCTTTCTTCATTCTCTTCATTTCGCAGCAGGATTATTTTTGTGTCTTCACGACGGTTTGTTTTTGTAGGGTCACGTGGCTCAGTGCTTGGGTCTTCAGCCCAGCATATTTTTGCAGGGCCAGATGGGTCAGCGATGGTATCAATGTCTTCCTCGGAGCTTTCTTCATTCTTTTCAGTTGGCAGCAGGCTGATGTCATCTCTGGCAGAGCTCTCTGCAGAAGGTGTTTCATCAGTACTATCATTTCCTCTACGGTGGTGAACTGGCCTTGAGCTCTTCATGGTACACTCTTTATCAAATTTAGTTAACAACCTATCCAGTGGTCGCTGGTGGATGTAGTTCACGTGTTCAAAACGGTGGCGAAGGTCCGGGAGGGCTGGAGTGGGCACTGGTGCCGGGTCGGGGATCCCGCCTATCGGAATATACCCGCACAAAGGCGAGGGAGCACCCGATCGGAGTCATGCACCAATGAAAGAAGTTCGGTGCCAGTAATGACTCCACACCTGGCCGGGACCAAGAGATTTATTAAAGCAGCTGTTACAGAGGGGATCTGTAACAGGAAAAAAGAAAGAAGGACAGAGTAAGAGAGAGAGAAAGAGAAACCAAGCAGAGCTGATTTTTTGATTTATTGTAGAGATGAGGTCTCGCTGCCCAGGCGGGTCTCGAACCCGCGGGCTCAGGCAATCCACTCACCTCAGCCTCCCAAAGGCGCGGGATTACAGGCTGAGCCACTGAGCCTGGCTCAGCTATGGTTATTATTATCATCATTTGAAAGACTGTTTTTCTTTTTAAAGAGAGTAAATAAATTATCCTCCTTGTTCCTTAAAAGGAAAAAAGACAAGACATTATATTATAAAGGGGTTTTTTGTTTGTTTGTTTTTTTGAGTTGGAGTCTCACTCTGTCACCCAGGCTGACACACTCATGGCCACCCCACTGTCAACCTGCTGGGCACCAGCAATCCTTCCACCTCAGCCTTCCAAGTAGCCAGAACTACAAGCACGCACTACCATGCCCGGCTAATTTTTTATTTATTATAGAGATGATGTCTCGCCAAGTTGCCTGGGCTAGTCAGGAACCCACAGGCTCAGGCAATCCACTCGCCTCAGCCTCCCAAGGTGCTGGAATTACAGGCTGAACCACTGAGCCTGGCGATAAAGGAGTTCTTTATCAATAAGATGAAGTCATAGAGGCAGTAGACAAGTGATAATAAATCAGTCTTATAAAAAAGAACAGTGAGAGACTGAAGTCTTAAACCAAAATCAGAAAAGCAAAATTCAAGCTCAATTTTCATTTTAAAATAGCTCTAAAATTCCAAAAAACTTGAATTAAAGGTTTCTAGATACCAAAGAGACACAATGAAAGAGACAAAACAACAAAAATCCCATCAACACAGATACAGAATTGGAGAGTGAGATATATGGAGCACATGACACAAAAGACTGACCGAGAATAAACAGAAAGAACAGATATAGACAGGAAAGAAAACAAAAATTCATGCTCTGTTTCCCAGTAATTTGTAAGACTTCCAACCAGCCAGTTTTCCCATCCCCCCCTCTCCTTCTTTCCAGCTCCATGTAACTTACATTGAAAGATGCCAGGGCCTCAGAGACACTCTTCTCAATGAATTCATCAGTGATTCTTCGGGAAGGATGTTCATTAAACACAGAATTCATTAGTGCAATCTTTGCAGCACTCCTCCGGGCCTCAGCTTTTGTGGGACAAAACTAGGTAAGGGAGAAAGAGTGAGAAGATGTATATATGTGCATCAGAGAGAGGAAGGAACAGTGGAAGGGAAACACTTGAGATAGAAGACACTTGAATGCTCTTTAGATAAATCAGTGGTGTTAAGCACACTCTCCAAAGTTTTCATTGCAAACTGGTTGAGATGTTTGGAAATATAATTGTGATTCAACATCCTGAAGTCATTAAGGAACTGGAGACGGCTGCAGCTCATACTAAATTGAATGCAGAATGAGGAAGGCTGCTGAAGTCAGCAAATCATCACTGGACATGAAAAATACCCCCGTTTAAACTGTCAACAGAATTAATTACTCAAAAGCCAGATTCTGGCCAGCTTATTAGAAATCTGTATATTGTTCTCTTGTTCTGTGGACAGGCAATGTTTTTTGGATTCCTTTAGATGATTCAAGATTAGAACAAAGCTGTGTCTAAGGCTCCTTCGACCGAGAAGGCCTCTGGTCTCTACCAGAAACACCCATTTGGGATTCGTGGACTTCACTTTTAGCGGTGAGCAGGTATTTTCTCCAATAGTATAGTAAGCCAAAGGAGCTGTCCCTGAAAAGAGCCTAAGTCTGAAGATTTATAGTCTTTTTTTTCCCTTCAGTGGAAACAAGAAGGAGAGGAGTGACTAGGGGAAGGAAAGCTGACCTGAGAAAAGCAAGAAAAAATTATAAATGAATTCATGTTTTTACATTGTATCCAACATAAGTATCATAGAACAAATTTGATCTTCTGAAGTCCTAAATCATTCAACTTCAGATCCCTAGCCACCATAGTATTCCTTTATTTATTTACTTGAGTCAGGGGTCTTACTTTGTCACCCAGGCTGGACTGCAGTGAGTGGCACAATCACGTCTCACTGCAACCTTGACCTCCTGGGCTCAGGCCATCTTTCTGCCTCAGCATCCCAAGTAGCTGAGACTACAGGCATGTGCCATTACACCTGGCTTATTTTTTATTTTTTTGTAGAGACAAGGTCTCACTATGTTGCTTAGGCTAGTCTTGAATTCCTGGGCCTCAGTCTCTAAAAGTACTGGGATCACAGGCATGTGCCACTGTACCTGGTCATAGAATTCCTTTATAATTCATCTTTACTGGCCGCCTCAAAGGCCACTATGTCCTTTGTCACTTATGATTAAGATTAGAAGAAAGGATGAAAATGATGTTGCAGTTTTAAAAAGAAGACCAGGATATATTCAGGACTTAACCATCTTAACTATCAGTAATTCCTCATTTCCGTTAGCTCTACAGTCCCTTCTGAGACAGCATATGAAGCGTGGTACATTATCCTTAAGTCTTCTTGCTTCTTCAATTTCTCTGTTTCTGTTTCTCTATTACTAGCCTAATGCCTACTCTACTCAATAGTGCTGTTTCTAAAAAGAAAACCACCAGGAGAATTTCACTTGCCAAAGTGGATATAAAAGGTATAAGCTAAAGGAGCCAAGGTAGATAATTCTACTCTTTCAGAAAAATAACAGAAATCAAATTACTATGTTTCAGTTATAGGTATCATCATAAAATTTTCAAATAATTACACAACAATGTGATGAGGTAAAAAGAAGGAAAGACCTTATTTTCTAAGAGAGACATCCATCATGCTGGGCATAGATTTATTTCTCTAAAATGGCTAAAGTTCTGAGGGAAAACATTTAATTAACTGATTTGACATGAAGCTTGATTAGGACTGTTTCTGTTCTAGGCAGGAGCTGAGTTCTCATTCATGCAACAGACATTGTAATTGCCTACTATGTGCTTGGCACTGAGTTGGATAGTGGGGATGTAACAAGAAAGAAGACAGACACAATCTCTGCTTCCATGGAATATAGTCCACCAGGAGAGACAAACAGTTATTATGTGTTAAAATAAGTGATAGGTAGGGGAAGTTTAAGGTGCTGTGGGAGCACACAGCAGGAGTTCTAACCTTGTCTAATGGTTACAGAAACCATGTGGAAAACAGAATAAAGGTGTTTATCATCTTTTCTAAATTCCTATTCATACTCTTATGTTGACATTTCACACTAGTTCATAATAATTTCTCATTACCCATAATAGCAACTATTCTTTTCATCATCATAGGTTTTTCACTTAATTACAGAGTGTTAGTAGTAGAGAATACTAGAAATAATCTAACCTATCTGCTTCATGTTATAGTTGGGGAAAGTGAGGCCCAGAGAAGTTACCTGACCTGCCCTTCATTCAGGGGAATGAGAATTGGATCTCCTAACTCTTAGATTAATACTGTTTCAATCATATGTAGTCCCTCCCCTTTGATCTCTTAGAGAACTCAAATATTGCTTTCTTTAGTAACTGCCCATGAAATAAGCACCTAGGGAATAAGGAATATTGCTCTGTATCCTCAAGAAGAGATGGCAGGAAGTTGGAATGAAATAAATGAAGTAAATGAAGTAACAGAAGCCAAATCAGAGCATGGTTTGGGTGCTGGTAGTCTGACATACTGAACAAGGGCATGTGAATAACTACTCAAATACAAAGTGGGTTTGAGTTTTTGAAAGGAAAGCATGCTGCTGAGGTTCCTTTGTGGTCAAATGACCCTCAGATGCTTGCCAGAATGATTTGCCCCAAATTGGTTTAGGTCCTCAAATGAGTGATTTCAGAGAGATTTAATGGCTAAAGTGGTAGAGAAAGCCCTTACTTGCACTTAAGCATTTACCTTTGCTGCTGCCACCTCACAGCTCTTACCTGGAAACTCCCAAAGCAACTTCCCCCAGGCAGGGTGACATAGCAGACATAGGGAGGGCTGTTGGAGGGAACCATCTCATAAACCACTAGAGCCCCATTCTTCAAGTCAGCCCCACGGGACTGCTTCATCTGCCAGAATTCTTGAAGTGCCTCCACCACATTCACTACAAAAAGAGAAGAACAGTTCAGTACAGTATCTGTAATCGCTACCTATGTTAAGAGTCTGCCCCTTTCCTCCCTACCTACTACTACTTAGACCTATTTAAATTAATAAACTTAAACTGGGATTAAGTTAATTTGCATAGAATGTCAGAATATGCCTGACCTCCTCCCCCATTTCTCTAGTTCACATTTTGATTTAGTCCTAGAATAACTTAAATATTGAGAGCAGAGTTTCCAGTGTCAGTAGACCATTATCACTGCCTGATGAAATATAAATAGACTGTGGTGGTTGTGAGCATGCCACTGCACTCCAGCCTGGGCAACAGTGAGACTCTGACTCAAAAAAAAAAAAAAAAAAAAAACAGACATGGTGGCTCACACCTGTAATCCCTGCACTTGGGGAAGGCAGAGGCAAGAGGATTGCCTGAGCCCAGGGGTTTAAGACCAGGGCGGGTAACTTAGCAAGGCCTCATCTCTACAGTAAATAAAAAAATTAGCCAGGTATGGTGGTGCACGCCTGTGGTTCCAGCTACTTGGAAGGCTGAAGTCGAAGGATTGCCTGAGCCCAGCAGGTCGAGGCTGTGGTAGCCATAAGTGTGCCACTGCACACTAGCCTGGGTGACAGAGTGAGACTACTACTCTAAAATTCTATGTCTCTGGCTGATACTATTCACCTTCCCTGAAAGTCTCTCATGCCTGCTAAAATCACTTTCTCAAATGCCTTATATCTAGCAATCTGATAGCTATGGATCTTTTACGAAACAAATAGTGACTCAATCTATATTACTGGAACCAAGGCACTCTAACTCTGCAGCTCTAAACTGAAAAAGTCTTTAATGATTCAATCCAGAAACCCATTAATTTTCCAAAAAGGGGAAGGGGCATCCAACAGCTTTTAGAAGATGTTAAATTTTATTATAGTTATGATAGTGCTCCGAGCATAAATAACAGCAAGTGCAAAGGGTTAGTGACAGCAGGGAACATGGTGAATAAAGGGACTAAAAAAAGGCCATTGTGGCTATGAAAGAGAGTAAGAGGAAGAGCAAAGCAGATGAGGTTCCAAGAAGAGGAAGGGACAAGACCAAGTAGGACCTCTTAGGCCATGGTTTTTTGTTTTGTTTGTTTGGTTGGTTGGGTTTTTTGGTTTTTTTTTTTTGAGTTGGAGTCTCACTCTGTCATCCAGGCTGGAGTGCGGTGGCACGCTCATGGCTACGCCAGCGTCGATGAGCTCTGGCAGTTCTTCCTCCTCAGCCTTCCAAGTAGCCAAAACTACAGGCACATGCTACTGTGCCTGGCTAATTTTTTTTATTTGTTGTAGAGATGAGGTCTTGCCAAATTGCCCATGCTGGTCTCCAACCTGCAGGCTTAGGCAATTCACTCACCTCGGCCTCCCAAAGTGCTGGGATTACAGACTGAGCCACTGGCTGGGTTTTGTTTTGTTTTTTCGAGTCAAGGTCTCACTCTGTTGCCCAAGCTGAGTACAGTGGCCCAATCACTGTTCACCACAGCCTCCAACTCCTGGGCTCAAGCAATTTAGGCTATGTTAGAGTATTGGCTTCATTCTAGTGCAACAAGAAGTATCTGAAGGATTTTAAACAGAAGGAGGGATGAGATCAGTTTGTCTTTTAAAAGGATCATTTTGACTCTAGGATTACAAATATTTCAAACAGCTTCAACTAAAGCCTTATAATAATAAGTTATCATGTGTTCTCCAATATCTTACAACATGACCATTCTCTTACTCTTAATTACAACAAGGACTCATTCATTCTTTCATATTGCCTTAATTCAAATCTACCAAGAAGACACCAAGAAGGGATAGACATTGCAGAAGATGTACTGTGGAGGAAAGAGGAGAAGGCCGGGAGAGGTTTCACATAACAGTGAATGTCTGACCACCTGTGGAGGAGAGGGAAGGAAGGAGGTTTGGATATGAAAGTCTCAGACCACAGCTTATTTTCCAGAAAGGTTTGACCAAGTCAGTGGAAGTCATCATGCCAATGGAATCCCACATCTCACCAGCAAGTACCTGTGTTAATACCCCTGCTGTACTCAGTCATTGGCTAGGAGCAGCCTACAGGAAACGTGGCCTCAGTGCAAATGTGTTGATGGACCCAGAGGGGGCAGTAGTTCAGGCTGTTCGTTATGCTCACTGCAGAAGGAGATCTGAACAGTACATTTCATGGCTGTCATACACACATTAGCAAAAATTTGAGAACTTAGTAGATACATGGCTCTATTCTAAGAATTAGAGATGCAAAGAGTAACACACATTCCTTGCAAACAAGTGGCTCACCCCTATAATCCCAGCACTTTGGAACGCTGAGGCAGGAGGACTGCTTGAGCCCAGGAGTTTGACACCAACTTAGGCAACATAGTGAGACCTCGTCTCTATTTAAAAAAATCAAAAAATTTGCCTGGCATGGTGGTGTGCGCCTGTAGTCCCAGCTACTCAGGAGGCTGAGGTGGAAGGATCACCTGAGCCCAGGAGGTCAAGACTGTGATGAGCTGTGATTGTGCCACTATACTCCAGCACAGGCAACAGAGGAAGGCCAAAAAAATAAAAAGAAAAAAAAAGCTAGTGGCCAATAATAAGTTGTAATAAGTTATTTCACATGCTCTGCAACTGAAACAGACACCCCATGTAACAGCCTGAGTCTGAAAAGCAGTATAAGCTCTTTTCTAATACCCTGTAAGACAGCATAAAAAGGAAACTTTCAGCCGGGCTTGGTGGCTCAGCCTGTAATCCCAGCACTTTGGGAGGTTGAGGTGAGTGGATTGCCAGAGCCCGTGGATTCGAGACCCGCCTGGGCAACTTGGCGAGACCTCATCTCTACAATAAGTCAAAAATTAGCCGGGTGTGGTAGCGTGTGCCTGTAGTTCCAGCTACTTGGAAGGCTAAGGCGGAAGGATTGCCGGAGCCCAGCAGGTCGAGGCTGCAGTGGCCGGGAGCGGCCACTGCACTCCAGTCTGGATGACAGAGTGAGACTCCAACTCAAAAAAAAAAAAAAGAAAAGGAAAGGAAACTTTCTTTTCCACCCTTGGTTTTGGCAAGGGTTCTTCAAAGGTCACTACTGCCCAGAAAACTTAGTCATCTTTGTTCCTTCCATTGAGATCTTTCAGCCTCAGTTCCCTGTTTGAGACAATTTAGCACAATGCACCGAGTGACAGCTCTCCTGACATACAAACAACAGGGAGAATATTGGAGTAAAGAGGAAGGGGAGGAGACCATCATAGTTGATAAGGTTTTATTACAAAGTTTATATCCACCCTGGGCAACATAGCAAAACCTCATCTCTACAAAAAATAAAAATTTAAAAAGCAGCCAGGTGTGGTGATGTGTACCTGCAGTCCCAGCTACTTGGGATGCTGAGATAGAAGGATCGCCTGAGCTCAGGGGAGTCTTATTTCAGAAGTGTGAGTATGAAATAAGGAACTGGGCAAAGTGGTTAAGAAAAAGCTATTAACTGTTATCTGCATTTGAAAATGCTGATAGACTCATTCATTTTTGGGGCTAGAAGAATTTCAGAATATCCAGTTCATACTAAGAAAGGGCAAGATGGCTTGTTCAACATCACACAGAGTTGGGGCATGAATCTAGACATTTTGATGGCAACGTTCTTTCTAATTTAAAATCTTAACCCAGGGTCCAAGGTCTAGTCCATAGTTGAGTTTCATGGGGTTCACAAACTCCCTAAAACTTAAGTAAAATTATGTATATATGTGCATATGAGTATTTGTATATATACATATGACAGGTGCCCACAGCTTTTATCAGATTTTGGTGAGGAACCATGGATATAATGGTTTACATAAGAATTTTAAAGAATCATGAAGTGGGTGGGTAAGAATAACAGAGACATGCACATTTGACAGCTACAGTTGCTTTCTGAAAGTCACTGACAAGAAAGACCAAGATAGTGAGGAATATGTAGGTGCTTATACCCTGATGCTGAACAACCACACAAAAAGAGATAATTTGTTTTTTGCCTTTAGGAGAGAAAATATTAGGTGAATGTCTAATTGGAATGAAAGGTACAAATTAAATAAAAACATTGAAACACTATATGAAACTACAGTAAAAATTTTATATCATAAGAATAAATACAATTTTGTGATGGGGAGCAAGGATGAAGAGATAATAGATAGTGAACTTGAGAGATGGGTAAAAATGTTCTCCCTTATTATACAGAATGATGAGAATAGCCTGACCCAGCTTAATTCACTTATTATTGAAGATAGGGAAGCTGGGTAGCAATATTTCATTTGGCATTTCAATTTTTAGAAGATGCTTCTGCCCCTGAATAGCCCACGGTGCAAGTTTCTTTGGAAGAGAGGCAAAGTAACAGTGACTTTGGGAAGGTACTCTGGTAGACTGAATAACATCCCCTGCCAAGATGTTCATGTCCTAATCCTTGGAAACTGTGAATGTTACCTTATCTGGCAAAGATTTTGCAGATGTATGTAAATAGTTTGAGATGGGGGGATTATCTAGATTTTCTGAGGGGACCCAAATGTAATCACAAGGTTTGTTATAAGAGGGAGGCAGATTTGACAAAACACAGAAGAGGAGAAGGCATTGAGGCAGAAATTGTAGTGATGTAGTTACAAACTAAGGAATGTCAGCAGCAACCAGAAGCTGGTAGAAGCAAGGAATGGATTCTCCCCTTAGAGCTTCTGGAAGGAGAATGGTCCTGCCAACACCTTGATTTTGACCCAGTAAGACTGATTTTGGACTTCTGGCTTCCAAAACTATGAGAATAAATTTCTGTTGTTTTAAGCTACCAAGTTTGTGAAAATTTGTTTCAACAGCCATAGGAAACTAGTACAGGGACTAATCCAGCATTTCCAAAAGTTGGAAATATTCAGACCAATCAGTGTAACTCTGATCACTTACAGAAAAAGAAGCTGTCTGTGATTCCGAGGAAAAGGAACTAAACAAAATCTACACAAGAGTCAATTGTTCAGTTTAGTGGAGTGACTGGGCAAAATCTCCCATCATGCAGATGTACGGTAACATAAAGGGATAGCAATAATTCCAAAACAACAGGTTTGAAGCAGGAAATATAGCAATTACAAAGCAAGGAAAGTAGGTTGTTCAATCATGCCATTTTAGGGATTGTCAGATGTCAAACAAGAGAATGAGACTGTATGCCATGTAGAAAAGGGGGGCAAAGGAAATAGTAATACTGACAATACCTGATATTTGCACAGTTTTCTGGTATTTCCAAATTCATAAGAATAGCAGCCACTCTGAGTACTATGTGCTACATGCTTTACATTCATTATCTCCTTTGATCCACCAAAAACTGTCAGGATAGGTATTATAATACCTGTTTTACAAAAAGGTAAGCGAGGAATAGGTCAGAAGTGGCACAACCATGATTTAGAAACAATGTTGGTTTGGCTCCAAAGCCAACCCTTTTTGTATTGTACTGTCCTACTTTATTATTTCATTAATCCTCATGTTCTGTGAGCCCCATCAAGACAGGGACTAAATATCAGCCTTGTTCACCACTGCATCTAGAGAGGTTAAGGAATTTCTCCAAGATCTCACAGCCACTATTTGCCAGGGCTAGGTCCTCTGATTCCAAATTCAATGTACCATATGAAGGACCAAAAAAACCCCTGGGATGTTTTTATTTAAAATTGTGTATTTATTCTTACATGTTTAAACTTTAGTCAACTTCAGAGTACTCTCTGTCTGATACAATACACCTATCAAGATATTTTTTACACTGCTCAAAACAATTTTTGAACATGTCAATGTTGATGTCTTTTAGTGCTTCTGCTGTTTTTTGTTTCACTTCTTCCACATTGGCAAAACATTTCCCTTTGAGGATTTTTTTCAAAAGTCACTTGGGGCAAGATTGGGTGAATAGGGAGGATGGGACACGGGGCTCATGCCATTTTTGGCCAAAAACTGCTGAACATTCAGTGCAGTGTGGGCACGTGTGCTTGTAAATCACCCATCATGAAATGGGCAAGCCAGGCTCAGTGGCTCAGCCTGTAATCTCACGCTTTGGTTTATTGTAGAGATGAGTGGATTGCCTGAGCCCGCGGGTTTGAGACCTGCCTGGACAACTTGGCAAGACCTCATCTCTACAATAAACCAAAAAATTAGCTGGGCGTGGTAGCGCGTGCCTGTAGTTCCAGCTACTTGGAAGGCTGAGGCGGAAGGATCGCTGGAGCCCAGCAGGTCAAGGCTGCAATGGCCAGGAGTGGCCAGTCTGGGCGACAGAGTGAGACTCCAACTAAAAAAATAAAAAATAAGCCGGGCTCGGTGGCTCAGCCTATAATCCCATGCCTTGGGAGGCTGAGGTGAGTGGATTGCCTGAGCCTGCGGGTTCAAGACCCACCTGGGCAACTTGGTGAGACCTCATCTCTACAATAAAATAAAAAAATAAAAAATGAATAAATGGACAAATGCATTGAAAGAATATGCAAAAAAAATTCACTAAAGCCGAATGCAACCTCTCACAAATGTTAGCTAATGCCGATGGGTTCCTAGGAGGAGGAGGCCTCTACTTCAAGGGGCCCATCCTCCAAAAGATAATTCTGAGATTTTTGGGGGTTACCCCTTGAAAAGTGATTAAGATCTTACAGCATACAGAACTATATGGGTATTGTGACTGGATGGGTGAGGGAGGAGATAAAGGGTAAACAGGTGAAACAGGGTTTTTTTTTTCTTTTTAAAATAAATGCTGAGGTCCTTCATAAGTGAAGGTAAATCTAAAGACTAACTGGAGAAGGTAAATTTGGAGTGTTCAGGAAAAGATGAAAGATGTGAAATAAAGATGATGCACTGCTGGGCTCGGTGACTCAGCCTGTAATCCCGTGCTTTGGGAGGTCAAGGTGAGTGGATTGCCTGAGCCCGCGGGTTCGAGACCTGCCTGGGCAACTTGGCGAGACTTCATCTCTACAATAAGTCAAAAAATTAGCCGGATGTGGTAGCGCGTGCCTGTAATTCCGGCTACTCGGAAGGCTGAGGCGGAAGGATCGCCAGAGCCCAGCAGGTCGAGGCTGTGGTAGCTGGGAGCGGTCACTGCACTCCAGTCTGGGTGACAGGGTGAGACTCCAACTCAAAAAAAAAAAGATGATGCACTAAAGCATTGGTGGGTGAGGGAATATTCTAGGCAGAGACCAAAGTGAATTGTATTCAAGAGAATACAGCCATCCCCAGATACCATGCCATCAGTCACAAGGGTATTTAAGTACATGCCAATGGCAGCTTTGACTAAGAAGTGAAGCAGAATAAGTGATTCCATGTGGTGAAGGGCTTCTGAGCCAAATCGGCAGAGATTCTGCTTGCCTGAAGCTGAACTATCTGCCAGCTGGACATCCAGACTGGAAATGAGAAACTCAAGAATAATGAGAAAGATTGCGATGGGAGGTGGGGAGGCTGGAGAGAGAATCATCACCACAGAGGCAAGCCTGTCTGACTGTTCTTTGTCAGCACAATCCCCTTGTTTTCTCATCCTTGCTAAGGAAATGAAAGTTTTTACAGGACACCCAGTTTAGAAGCCAAACCAAAGGCTCTCTAGGTAACACAGATGAGAAAAAGAGTATACTCTATACTTTTAATAACCTCTGAAAATTTCCAAGAGGAAGGCTTCAGATTTAGAGTGACTACTACTGGCTACTTCTGTGCCCAGAGGCAAAGACCTTCCCTGGATCTTGACTTAAAGAGACCTGAAGCAGCAGGATAGTAGTTAATGGCAGTTCTGTCACATGGCCTTATTAAATCTAGGAATTAAACTGGAAAAATATATTTCTTCATGGTGAATTTTGTAATCATATTTATGTGTAGCCCCAGCACTTAGCAGAGTGCTGGAGTTACAGGTGTCCAAATTGTGTGAAGAACAAAGGGAAACTGACGGTAAATGTATCATTAGGCATACATAGCAAAATGGCTCTAGAAACCTGTTTTCCTTGGGAATTTTGGGTTTATACCATCAGGACTTAAGAGTGAGAGAATATAAAACATGTTATTTTTAAGGAACTATAACCAGCAAATTTGAGATAATAATCATTTTAGGTACCCATTATTATGTCAGTTGTAATAACAGTACACATCCTAACCCTTGAGGAAACCGAAGCTCAATGAGGTTAAGTCCCTTCCCCAAAGACATAGCTGGGAAGTGACAGAGATGTCTGAAGCCTATACTCTTTTTTTTTTTTTTTTTTTTTGAGTTGGAGTCTCACTCAGTCGCCCAGACTAGAGTGCAGTGGCCGCTCCCAGCCACCGCAGCCTCGACCTCCTGGGCTCCGGCGATCCTTCCGCCTCAGCCTTCCAAGTAGCTGGAACTACAGGTGCGCGCTACCACACCCGGCTAATTTTTGATTTATTGTAGAGATGAGGTCTCGCCAAGTTGCCCAGGTGGGTCTCGAACCCGCGGGCTCAGTCAATCCACCCACCTCAGCCTCCCAAAGTGCTGGGATTACAGGCTGAGCCACCAAGCCGGGCTGCCTATGCTCTTTTTACTACACTTTCTCAACAACAACAAAGTCTACAGAGAATGCCCTGCAACCGCCTCTGTATTATTGTTAAATTAGAAAGTTAAAGGTATAGTCACTTCCAGGTCAACCTGGACCTGGCCAAGCAAACAGAAGTGATGTCTTGGAAATTCTGAATTTAAATTCTATATCCTACACGCTTTCCTATATACTCCTTGTTACTTAGACTATAAATCTGGAACTTGAACTCAAACAGAAAATTCTACACTGGTTAAACAAAAACAACAAAGAAAATCCTCACATCCTCCTTCACAGAAATTAGGCACTTTTAAGATGAAGACTTCTAACCAAAATAGGGTTTCTAGCTGGCTCATTTCCACAGAATTTAACATTGAGAGAGCCAAGGCCTGAGATTTATCCTCAGTTTCTGGGCAAGGGCCAGGAAAACAGAGCCAGACAGGCAGAAGGGCCGGAGTGGTGAGTCTCCATACTAAAAAGGACACCAAAATAAGGCACTAAGCCACAGGAAGCGGGTGTGGGCTCAATTATTATGAGTGACCTGTGAAGGCATTAACTAATTCCTCAGCAAATCTGAAGTTTCATTGAAATTTCGGAGTGAAGATAAGCAAAGAAAAAGTCATGGTTAAGGAGATGGAGTAAACTAACGGGGGAGTCCAAGAATTGCTGAGATCACAGAGGAAAGATTGAGAGGGTATGGATGAGAAATTGGATCTGAGATAAAGGCCAGGATCCCACACAATGGGGACTGGCTTTCAAAGACAGAGAAGTGTTAAGGCATCAAGCTGAAGGAGAAATTCCATTTCTAAAGGAGAAAGGGTTGGGAAGAAAAGAGGATTGTGTCTGAAACAGGGGGTCCCTGGAGAATATACTAATAACTCGGGAAAGAGGAAATATGAGGCTTAAACGTGTGTGTACGCGTGCGCGCGCCTGTGCGTGTGCATGTGTGTATCCCAGAAGGAAACTCCCCAAAAGGAAATGCATGTGAGGGCTCCACGCCAGGAAGAGCGATCCGGGAGGACTGTGGGAGCAAGGCTCCCTTACAGAGGGTGTCCCGCAGGAGGCCAGACCCGCAGACTCACCTCGGCCATAGCCCTGC